CTTTATACCCCTATACTGACCAGTTACTGAATGCAAGCTCCCTGCAGGATGCAGCTGGACCATGGATGATGTGATCTCTTCAGCCACAGACAATGTCTGGAGAGGTGAGCTTGGCAAAGAGCTAACAACTCCCCTAAGAGATTAAGGAAGGTATGCTTCAGTTTTGAAAGGGGGCCAACAGAATCTACATGGGTATTAGGAATAAGGAAGAACCTTAAAGATTGAGAAGATGTAACCATGTGACAAAGATGGGTTTATGTGCTTAGGGTATAGAAACATTATAAACAAAGGCCTGGAGGACTTAGAAATACTGTATTGGCTGAAACATAATTATAATGAGGCTGGTATATGGTTGGGAGGAGATTGGGGAAAGAGTATGGGAACAAGAACTGGATTAGTAGGTAATCTTAAGTGAAACACTTTAACCAGCAGATGTTTCAGTGTCATTGAAATAATAAAGTGGAGGAGAGACCACGTGAGATCATCTTTCAGAGAAAAAAACCCCAACAAAAGTGTGGAGGACATATTTGAGAGATATGTTTAAGAGCATCCAGACTGGAGGCAGGAAATGTTGTATAATATCTGGGTGTTAGATGACGAAGGTCTGGATAATACCACTTCTCTAGAGGAACTACTTAATAATTTAACAATGATGGTGTGTTATTTCACATGATATGTTTGTCACAACACCCTCATATTATTGCTTTTTTCTTATTTATATTCTCCTGTGTTCTATAGATTTAATTTTCTATCTGAAAAAAATCATTTGGAGTTTCCTTAGAGGAAAAAAGAAAACATACTACACATATATTTTCTAGCTCATATATCTATTCTCAACACTCACTTTCAATCAGTATGTCTAAAATATGAGCACTTTTTTTTTAATTGGGCTAATATGTTATGGTCACATCTATTATAAGAGTTTTTAAAATAAAATTTCTGTTAAGATAGAAAATTTTTAAGGAAAGATTTCACCAAAGAATCCTGAATTTAACTTGAAAGAGGGAAAATATAGAAAGTGTAGAAATATAAAGCAAAACCTGTCACACACTCTATAGTTTTGAATTTCTAATGGGAAATTTAATAACTTTAGAATTTGGGGCAGATCAGTTGACCAAAGTCTCAGTTTCTTCATCTTTCAAATGCGTCTGCTAATACCTACCTCAGGAGCTCTGGTAGCATAGTGGCTAAAGCACTTGACTGCTAACCAGAAGGCTGGCGGTTCAAACCCACCAGCCACTCCTCGGAAGGAAGGTTGGGCAATCCTACTTCCGTAGTGATACTGCCTCGGAAACCCAAGGAGGGGTCGCTATGAGTCGGGGCCGACTCGACGGCACATAACAACAACAACAATACCTACCTCAAAAAGTCTTTTAGTAGTTAATAATCAAAGTGCTTAGAATCATTCCACAACTTAAGGGATAATATCAAAAATGTTAGTATTGATATTTTTAATAACTTTTCAAAAAGACGTATCCTAACTCAGAGGGGAGGAAGCCAAGTGAAAGACAAAACACAGCTTGACAATGCTGGATATCTAGAGTTCTTTCTTCAGATCACAGATGGAGTTACTAGGCTTGGAGAACAGTACAGGGCGTAAGTGATGACCTAGGTGGAGAGGACAGTCTCAAGGGTTTAGTTGCCCTTTACAAGCTGCTGGTGCATTTTCTTCAACAGCATGAATAACACCATCATCTAGTGTGCTTGTTTTAACTTAACTTTTCACCAGAGCAGGCACTATGCTTTCAGGAGTTCTAATTTCCTATTTGATGCCAACATGAATCTTATACTAATTGCATTAGTAGGTGATGATGGCATTAGTAGGTGATGATGGCAGACGCCGGGGTGCTGGCAAGAAAGAGGAGCCAGAGCACTGAGTTCTGTGAGGGCAGCATGACCGACTAGACCGAGTCAAACGCCCCGTATTTCAGCCATTTTCTCTCTTCGGGCAAAATGCTGTATATTTCTGGACCTTAGTTTTCTTTCCCTTAAAATGAAGGGTTTGGAATTAAATTCACTCTGGCTTTGTAGTTCTGATTCTCAAGGTTCACAGATATCTCGAGAAAGAGGGAAGGGGATCCTGGAGTGCAAGTCTAATCCTAATTCTGAGGACTTATTTTCTGGCCATGGATCCACATAATGTGGGACTGTGAAGATACAGACTCACACAGACATTGAAGAAAATGGGAATTATGAAACGAAGGTAGTGGGACACTCTAAATGGAGCTAAGTACTCCTTCTTTACAGAATGCCAGACATTCATCCCATGAAACCTGAAGCCTGCTGTAGAAGCCAACAATCCTCCTAAACCCGCCCAAACACTCTTTGTTCTTAGAGCACTGTCCCAGCCACACACACACTCACCACCTATGAAGAACCGAGACACTTTGAAAAGTAACCAAAACAAATTCTTCAGGAGACTAGAAAAAGACTAAAGTCATTATTTGCTAGTCCTATTGTCAGGCTGTTTGACATCAGCCAAGTTTCATATCGTTTCAAGTTTCATTGACATAAGAGTACCCCTGATGTTTTACAGTGGTTTTTCTTATTATAAAACTCTCAAAATATTGACCTCCTTGGAAATATTTCTTCTTACACTCCATTGCATTTTATAAATGTCTCTTCTTTGGTTTCTTGAGCTGTCATTAAGTAAATCTCTCCTCCCTATGAGTTCATCAACTCTTTAGATCTATTTCTCATCTTCTGTTGGAATGACATCATCATTATTTGTTAAGAAAATGAATATAAGATCTCTAAGGACTCAATCCCATATGTAATGCATTAAGGAAAAAAAAAAAAATGAATGTACCTGTGAGAGAGATGCAGGTTCAAACTTCTAAAGAATGTATGACTTGAAAAGACAAATAAGCATCAGAAACAGTTCAACTGAAGTAATAGCCACACAGGCTGGAAATATGTATAAGACTAGATGCTAGCAATGAATTTTGCTTAAAGCCAGCCCTCTAATGCATGCAATCATGTTTCCAAAAATTATTACCAGGTATGAAACTAAGGAACATATCATTATTAAGAACTTGCTTTGTGTTAAGTATTGAACTAATAGATAATGATAGAGAAGTAACCAAGATATACCCTCTATTCTCAAGGAATGCCTACCAGTAGCTTAGTGACCTACTTCATAGCAAAGCTAGGCTGTAAGGTTTGTAGATTAGAGACCTTGTCGCTGACTGCTAAAGTGCTAGTGCCTAGAAGACTTCCTGGAACACAAAAGTAACACGCTGAGTGTGGAATGAATTTGCCCTACCAAATAATGTCCTCAGCTATATGTTTGTGCTTCTATTTATTTTTTCCTAGGATACAAGCTTCTCATTAAAAAAAAATCAGAGACTTTATAGTTAATTGCATAGTTTGTCTATTTTTATGTCAGGAGCAATTATATACATATGTGTGTGTGTGTATATATATATATATATATACATATACACACATACATACATAAATTCCAGTATTTAGATATTTTTGTCTTTTAACTTATTGATAAAAATGTCTACATTATGCCATACCTTTTCTTTTATGTAAATCACTCAAAAACAAAAATGTATTCTTTATTTTGTCATCGTCAAGATAATTTGAAAAAATCATTTAAGAAAGGTAAATAAGGAAAGTAGTAGAAGAAAATGCTTTGGTAAAAGAGACAGATTATTTCAAGCGATTGAGTTTAGGTCATGTCTGTGGGATCAGCTTAATATGTATGAATTCCTACACCTTTATAACAACAACAATATTTTGGCTTGATTTAATTCATCATTGTTTCAAATTTGAGCCAACATCAAGATAATGACTCAGTCTGTGAAAACGGAATTTCAGAGCTTTCATGAAGCTTTTGCAGGATTTTTCACATCTCTTTGACATAAGATAGCAAAATTCATTTTGAAGGATGAATTTCATAATTTCTCATTTTCATACTATTTACTACGGAAAGTATTAAGTGGCTAGATTAAAAAACACTGCACTGGACCATGACTTACCTATAGTTTTGCTTTTCATTTCCTATGTGGAATCTGTCGTACTGTGAATAGGCTCTGTTTCCTTCCCAATCCATTAACTCGATTCTTAGTGTGTACTGCCTCTGACTGGTTATGGCAAAAATAAACTCATTCCCCAGCCAGTATTCACCAGAGGGATTTCCAAAACCCTGAGTAAGAAGACAGAAATGCAGCCATTAGTTTAGGGAGAAGTTCTTTTTATAATTAGCATTTAACAATTTCTTAAGTAATAAAAAATTTAACACTAAGGATATTTCTTTTACATTTTTTTTAAATCTTTCAATACTTTTCTGTTGTTTCCTTCCATTCAGGTGAGGTTCAATTCTTACTACAGTAAAACCTCTATTATTTAAGTGCTTGTAGGTGAGGTATTTTTTGATTCAACGAATCTGGTTAATAGGTCTAACCAGAAAATATGTCTCAATGAACAGTTTGTTTTGGAAAATATTTCTAAAATACTGGTTAATGGAATATTATGAATATAAGTTAAATACTTTTCAATGAATATTACCAGGATAGTATCGGACCAGTTGTTTATCAATAGTATTACTATGATTGCTGCTGTGGTCATTACTATTATTTGGGAGTACAATTATACTCCAAAAATAACCTATATAGGTTAGCAGACCCTTGAGTTTTTCATTTTTAAATATTAATAAATAAGCCTGAAAATTCATGACTATAATTATTTATGCTTCACTAGCATGGACTTGAATATTGAGACAGATGACTGGCGTGCAAGAGTTGAGGGGGGAATCTAGCTGGCTGCTGCACATGTGAGTTTCAACTCAGCTGTGTTGTTCTCTTTAGGGTAATTTTGCTCACAATTTGGAAGTTTTCAAAATAGTTTGTGGAGGGGAAAAAAAGTCATCCCCAAAACAAAGAGAACTCCCAGTGTTGACAATGTCTGTGATAGGAAAACAAAGAACTCTAACAGCAAGCGTTCTAGGCTTTGAGTGTTCACAATGGCTTCAGAAAGGATTCCCTGGAAATGCTTGAAGTTCAGTGTAATTCTTGTTCTACATGTTTTCTTACTGACCAGAATGTGAGTTCCCTGATGACAGAAGCCATGTTGTATTTGTGAGTCCTCATAGACTGCAGTGCGGCATACACTGAGCACCTGAGCTTGGTGTGTGTTTATTGAAGTTCAAAGGAAAAGGAAGAGCAGAGTAGAGGAAACTAGAAACTAGGAGGGAAGGAAAGAAGAAGGGAGGGAGGGAAGGAGAGAGGGAGGGAAGGAGTGAAAAAGGTAAGAAGGATGTAAAATATTATAATCAAACCAAAACCTGTCGTCATCAAGTAGATACCGACTCAGAGACACCTTATAGGACAGAGTAGAACTGCCCGCATAGGGTTTCCGAGGCTGTAAATCTTTATGGAAGAGACTGCTGCATCTCTCTCCCCCAAAGCTGCTGGTGGGTTAACCACGGTGCTACCAGAGTTCCATAAAATATTATAACACTTTGAAATTAACATTCAGGTAAGTAACCTTAAATCGTAATGTTGAAGGTAAAGTGCATGAGCCTAAGGGAATTGTTTCTGCATGAATCTGCATTTGAACAAGCTCCCCAATTTGGCTTGTGCACTCCACTGTTTGAAAGGCACATGTTCAGTAATCACAGAACAGACTGATGTGTCAGGAGGAAGAACTTCTGATCAATCAAGGCTCTCACTAGTAAAGATGCTATTATATCTAACTTAAGAAGAAGTGTTAGGGAAGCACCGAAACAATCACAGCAGCCTTTGCTTTCTGAACACACGTGAAAAACTTTGGAAAATCTAGACTTCCTTTCAAATTTAAATTGATATAAATTTTATAGAATTATAAGTATATCAGAAGTTCTATTAACTGCCTTTTCCTTTATTCAACTTAACAAATGAGCAATGTTTTCTATTCTTTCTTTAAAATATACTGATGCCCTACCCCCTGAATAAATAATTCATTGTGGTGTATGTATTCTATGGAATACATACATAATTCATACAACTAGTATCCACCGTTATAATTCCATACAAAAAAGTCCCATTGTCCCCCAAATTCTCACTTGCTTCACCTCTATAGTCAACACTCCCTCACTCAACCCCTAGCTATCACTGACCTGTTTACTGAACCTACAGTCTTTCTTTTATAAACCAAAACCAAAACAAACTCACTGCTATCAAGTCAATTCTGACTCATGGTGACCCCCACTGGGTTTCCAAGGTGGTAAATCTTTACAGAATTAGATTACCTCACCTTCCTTCCATGGAGCAGCTGGTGGGTTTGAACTACCAACTTTTTGGTTAGCAATCAAATGCCTTAGGCACTGTACCACCAAAGCTCCTTATACTGATGGTCAGAACATACTAATAGTGTATTTAATCCACTTGTGCATTGCTGCCTTGGCCAATTGAGTTGTATGGTTACCAAATGGAAGATGTGTTTGCTCCCAATCTGTTTATACAAGTTCTGTTATTGTAATGATAATATTTATAATATTTTGTAAGTATGTTAAATATTAGTGGAAAAAGGGTAATTTTTGTCTTTCTATAAAACCTAATTTAAATGTTTAGTTTTGCCCAACAAAAGCAAATCATTAAAAAAAGGGGAGGGGGCTTTTGAATTAGATGTTTTTGAGACAGCTTTAAAAGACTGGGAAAAACAATGCTATTATAGAAGATTCTTTAGGAGCTCTGGTAGCATAGTGGCTAAGGCACTTGACTGTTCAAATCCACCAGCCACTCCTCAGAAGGAAGATGGGGCAATCTACTTCCATAGTGATACTGCTCGGAAACCCAAGGAGGGGTCACTATGAGTCGGGTCCAAGTCGACGGCACATAAGAACAACAACATAGAAGATTCTTTAATTGGATTGTTTTGCATGTCTTTTTAAACACTTTCTGTGTTTTTCTAAAACCTCAAACTAGAAAATGAATGCATACCATTAAGGAAAAGTTCTGTGCAAGAGCCACTGCCTCACAATTTCAGGCTTTATATTAAAAAACAGGCAAATGAATGTATATTTTTATATTTAAAGTTAAATTTGAATGCATTAATACAGGTAGGCATAGTTAAAAATTATTCACCAATTTAACTTATTTATTTTATTAACACTCTTGATTCCAGTGGCACTGGGTATATATTGCCCTGAAGACCACCTACCTGGAGCTCAGAGCAAACAGATAGCACTCACTGAAATGAGTATCCCAGTGGCTCCTTGCTTCTCTGTTGCTGAGATGCTCAAATCTTACTTTGCAAATGTTCAACAGTGGCAGGAAATACTACCGCAATGAAGGATGTGCTAAGAATTTTACATTTACACATTGTTATGGTTTCTCCTTGGTACATATTAGGGAGAAGATTGGACCTTACCTTCTCCAATGCATAAGGAAAAAATAAAGTTACAGGGGGATGAAAGCCAAAGAATTAGCACTTTCTCAGTTGCAGAAGCCACTGGGAAGGAAAAATGGCATTGGGTTTTTCCTTGCATTTCTTTTCAGTTCAGACAGATCACAGGCTCCCCTTAAGTCACTCAACAATTCTTTCTTTCTGGAAGAAATTCACAGTGAGAAGGGATTCCACAATTATACTAAATGTGAGTAAAGAAGCTGAGAAGGATGAAGTGTTAAGTATTAGGTCAAATATTTCCACACGTTGGAAACGTTGTATGGATAAAACTCCCCTGCTTCCCTGTGTTATTTTCAATTACCTTATATGCATGTGAGAGCTGGACAGTGAATAAGGACGACCAAAGAAGAGTCAATGCTTTTGAATTGTGTTGGCAAAGAATGCTGAAAGTACCGTGGACTGCTAAAACAACTAACAAACCTGTCCTGGAAGAAGTGCAGCCGGAGTGCTCCTTGGAGGCTAGAATGGCCAGACTTCGTCTCACCTACTTTGGTCATGTTGTTAGAAGGGACCATTCCCTGGAGAAGGATGTCATGCTTGGTAAAGTGGAGGGTCAATGAAGAAGGGGAAGGCCCTCAACAAGGTGGTCTGACACAGTGGCTGCAACAATGGGCTCAGGTATAGCACAGATCATGGGGCTGGCACAGGACTGGGCAGTGCTTTGTTCTGCTGTACAAAGGGTCAATATGGATCAGAGCCAACTCAAAGGCACCTGAAAACAACTTCCCCAGGGAAAATCGCATCATCTCCAGAGAAGCTCTGAAATGGACGGGCATTAGGGTCATTTCCACTGGAAACTCATCCCATGCGAGCATACAGCCTGTACCTTCCTAAGTGGAGATAAATGTCCCTTTCTAAACAGTTTCCTTTATCTGACTGAAAACAGGGGAAGAAACAGCTGAAAAGAAAGCAATGAAATCTGCCTTAAGAAATCAGGATTCTGTTTCACACACCTTCCCAAATAGCTGTCCAGACAGGCTCTACTGTGGGAGCAAAATGTCTGACTACAATGAATCAAAATGGTTGTCAGAGAGGTACTAGTGTGGGGAGGAAACCTTCTCTTACTAAGTGCAGTGATGCAGAAACAAATGTTTCATGATGCAGATGAAATATAAGTGAAAGAAGGGAAAATGGGTTCCCACATCAGTAAACTGCTATTGGGTAGTTTGTCAGGCACTCCCAGGAATCTGACGCACAGGACCAGAGGGTTGACTTGCATTAAATAATATCTGCACCTGGTCTCTGCTCCAAATTAAACCTTGTTCTGCACATATTTGTTGGAGAATCATCTACTTCACTACTAAGCCACAGGTTCTTTACCTATAAAACAGGGATTTAAAAAGAAGCTTCCGTGTAGAGTGCTATGAGAATGAAATAATATACCTGAAGCACTAAGCTGAATGCTGATATATGAAAAGGACTTCACAAAAATCCAGTTAGTGCTATTATAACAGTTACAGGATATGTCACAATACATAGTAATTTTTATGGAAACTACTTTGTCTAGTGTTAACAGTCACATTCACATGAAAGATTTTGATGCCATAATTCAGATACATTTTTAATCTTCCCCCCACCCTACCCCCAGTTCCTTAATAATAAAACAAAACACTGGTATTTAAGTTAAACTAACACTGACTTAAAATTGGACCTAAAAGCTACATTTTACTGAAAAATGCATGCAGAGAAAGACCAATATTTGTAAGTTTTTCCCAAAACCTAAAGAAATCTTCAATTTCAGTTAATGTTTTTCCAAGTGAA